ATTGTAGTGACTAGGCTTATTTTATTCCTTAAGGTCAATTGAGCCGAAAAAAAGTTCTACAAAAAAAAAAACATAGTTAGATATACCAAAACTACACTGTGAGATATACCAAAAAACAATATAACATAAGAGTAGTAGTAGTTTATTCTTCAAACTTAAATTTGCAACACTGTGAATTACGTATTTGTCTTTTTTTTTTGTTGAAGTAATGCAATTCATTCAAGTTTCAATTTGCAGAAGAAGAATAGTTTTTGAAACTTAAAATCGCAACACGAAAATGAAAATCGCAACACGAAAAATGACTATCGCAACGCGAATTTGAAAAGCAACACGAAAAATGACTATCGCAACGCGAATTTGACTATCGCAACGAGATAATCGCAACGTGAAATGAAAATCGCAACGCGAAACTAAAATCGCGTTGCGATTTTGTCGTTGCGATTTTCATTTCGCGTTGCGATTTTCATTTCGCGTTGCGATTCTCGTTTTCAAATAGTCATTGTCTAAAATTGAAACTTGAATGAATTGCATTACTTCAACCAAAAGACAAAACAAAGACAAATACTAATTTCACAGGGTTAAAGACTAAACAGTTTAGCAGTATTGACAACAATCGAATGAATTTAATAAGCAATCTAAGTGAAATTGTTAATCTATTATTGAAATTACCAGTAAACTTATCATTAATTTCAATATGAAAAACCTAATAATAATGCAAAAATTTCAAAATAAAAATAATTAAAAAAATAACCATCGGTGGTTGATTTGGTTGATTTTCCATTTCTAACCGTGAATGATTGTGAGGGTGGCTCTGAGAGATGGAGATAGACGGATTTCGCCGGAGATGGGGACGGATTTCGTCGGAGATGGGGACGGATGTCGCCGTAGAGAGTGAGAGATGGAGATGGGACTGAGTTGTGATTTAGGGTTTTAGGTTATGAGTTGCAATTACGGGATATATTAATATTCGTGTTTGGAATTTAAAAATAAAATACGCGTTGCGATACTAATGGCGCTTTGACAATCACATTGCAATTTTGTATTATCGCGTTGCGATAGTCAGAATCGCGTTGCGATTTACATATTCGCATTGCGATAGTCAAAATCGCGTTGCGAATCTGGAAACTGATTTACGATACTGGAGATCGCGTTGCGATTTAGAGATCACATTGCGATTTTGTTGGTCATTTTGGCAAATTGAAAAAAAATTTGGTCAAAATCGTATATTATAAGACATTTTCGGTCACTTAGGTTATTTTCTCTTAAAAAAAACATAACTCAAATTATACGAAAAGGAACAGAGAAAAAGAATAGAAAAATCCAGTAATCGACGACTATCCCAAAGTTGGAGTTATCAAATACACTAAGAGCCCTTCTCATCTCTCATCAATTGACTATAATCCCGAGTTAAAGTATTTCAAAGTTAGTGAAAACCAAAATTAGTATATATTTTACTTAAAATGTGTAAAATGGAACTTAAAGGCTGGTTTTGAAATTTGATTGAAAATGGATGTGAAAGCATTTATTTCAAAGGATTAACAAGGTTCACCCATAAACCTAGACTACAGAAAAAACTGTACATTGGAGATGAGAATAAATGCATATCAGTGCTTAAAAAGATGAAAATTTTATAACAAAAAAAAGAAGCCAATAACTCTACTGATGGTTTACGGGTTTTGTTTAAAGTTCATCAAGAGGTTCTTTTTTATCTGAGCCGTCCCCCTCAACCTTCTCATCTGCCTTCTGCAAGGTTTCTGCTGCATGTTTATCCGTCTTCTGCACAGTTTCTGCTACAGGTTTCGCCGTCTTTTCAACAGTTCCTGGTGCAGGTTTCGCATTTTCTTCAACATTTCCTTTACCGGTTTCAACCCTTTTCTTCATTGCTTCTTCACTGTCAAAGACGAAGAACAAACAAAACATGTCAACCATATACCAACGTTCGGCATGTTATTAAATTACGGCCTCATCGTAACGTTTTTCAATGTCACTGTGAACCACAAACTGCATCCGTGACATAAAATCATAGTTTAAGGAAAGAAAGAAAAAAAATCAAACCATGGAATCGTACTCTTGCTTGGGTGAAGTGAACTGCAATCGGAAATCATGGATGATTGTTTTGATTTTTTCCACAGAATTTTTATGGGCATCCTTCAACAAAGAAAGGGTGTTGGATACAATCTTGAAGGGAGATGGCCTGCCATCAGTAGTGGTCTTCTGCTGCTGATCACTTTGACTGATCACGGGTAGGATTTGATTCGAAAGAATGAGAAGAAACAAGAATGTGAAGCATCTTCTTGAGATGTTCATTTGCTTAAATTTGAAAAGAAAGAAATAAATAAATAAAAGGAAGCGTTGGGCATTTGATCTTAGCTTTGTAGTTTGTAGTAGGTAGTTTCGAGCATGGTTTTCAGAACCGGACCGGTTAACGAACCGGTCATGTTATCGGTTCACTGGTTCAACCGGTCGAATAAGTTCGACTGGTCGGAAGAACCGGACGACGTCATAATTATTTAAAAAATTAAATAAAAATATAAAACAATATTTAATAAAAAATAATTTTTTATATCACAAGTCATATTCAAAGCAAATCATAATATATATAAGTTAAAAATTATAAAATCAAGTGAAACAAAATGATTCAAATTAACTACAACATAATATTTAAGGTAAAATATATTAAATAATAAATATAATTATATAACTATAATTAAAAAATAAATTTGGAGCTAAAAAAATCATAATAAAATGATATTATTTGGTTTAATATTTTTTTTAAAAACAATCCCATATAGCTAGAGGTGCACAAAAAATCCGAATATCCGATTTTGTGCAAAAATTATCCGAAACCAAATTTGGGAAAAACCGTTTTTTTTTAAAACCGGATCGAATATTTTAAAACCGGATAGTATAACCGGTTTGAGAAAAAATTGGACGACCGGATTTTTTACCGGATTTAAAACCGGTTTGAAAAAACCAGGATAAAAACCAGTTTTTTATCTGGAAAAAAATCCGATCTAGGGTTTAAAAAATTGGATGACCGAATTTTTTACCGGATTAAAAACCAGTTTTTTTAAAAAACCGGTTTTTTTCAAACAGAAACCGGTTACACCGGTTACATCATCTGGCCCTCCAAACCGGTTATGATCCGAACCGGTTTTTTTATAAACCGATTTTTTGGTTTAGTGAAAAAACCGGATCGGTTTTTATCCGATCAGGATCGGATTTAAATCCGGCTATGTGCATCTCTACACATAGCTAAGAAACATAGAAGAGCATCCCAAAAGTCTAAAAAGAAAAAAAATATGAAAACAAAACAATCTCACATGACTAAGAAACATAGAAGAGCATCCCAACTAACTTCTATAAATAATAGAGGTAATTTGACATTCAAAATCATGGAACATTTTGGTGAACATTGAGTGAACTATTCTTTCACTTTAATCAAGCTCGAATATTAGGCTTCAATCGAGTTTTTAAATTATTTTTAGTTCAAGTCTTTTCGAGTTCAAGTTTCAATATTATATTTCGAGTTCGAGTTGAACTTAATAATTTTTAGCTCGTGAGTTTGAGTCGAGTTGAGCTTACTTTTAAAGTTTTCAAGTTCGAGTCGAGCTCAACAATACTCGAGTTCGACTTGGCTCGTTTAACAAACGACGTCGTTTGGTTTAATTTGTTTTTTTAAAAAAACAAAATTGACGGTTTTTTCTGATTTTCAACCGGTCTGGTTCGAACGGTTCAACGATTCCGGTCGATTCACTAGTAGCGGTTCAACCGGTGTAAATTGAACCGGACTAGACAACGATTCCCGATTAAACTGACCGATCCGATCCGATTTTCAAAACAATGGTTTCGAGTTTGTTCGCGTCGTATTAATTAAAGGAAAGGAGGCTTTTTCGCCTTGCTTCTCTACCACGTATGAACATTTCAAAATGTATATATATATATATATACTCCGTGTATTTATTATTTCAAATTATAATAAAATATAAAAAAGTTATTTATGTATTTTATAATTAAAACTAAACTAAACAATATCTATTTTTATTATTAAAATAGTAATTCAATCAAGGCCAACCAGTGAGTGAAAGTTTCTTTGTCGATTCACTATTACTATTACTAAAATCGCTACTCGTCAAGTTCTTGTAACTTCTTATTGATTTTCTTATTTGTAAGTAATTTTTTTAATTGTTAATAATGGTTTATTAAAATTTTGAGGGTGTCATAATATTATTAATGTACTTTCAAATACAAGTTTAATAGTTTATTTTGTCCCTAAAGTATACCAATTTTTAATTTTGGTCCTTATTTTTTATTCAAATTAAGACTTAAAATACCGTTCGTTAAATGGATCAATTCCTTTCGATTGAAAATCATGGAATCCTCAAACAAATCAAAACACGCTATATGGCTTCTTTTATATAATCAGCTTAATGTTTGATTTGGTTTAACTATATTGTTTTTTTACCTTTTAATCCTTCACTTTTTTATTAAAATTCATTAATAATAAAAATGTAAATCTATTTTAAAATTAAATATAAATTTAATAAATTAAAATAATTATAATCCATATTTTCTAAAAAAATTAAACTATAAAAAAATCATGGGTAAATTACACGTTTAGTACCCCAACTATCACTTTTGCTTTGTTTGGTCACCCAACTATTTTTTTAAAATTATACCCAACATTTAGTTTTGATTTCATTTTAGTAACTCGTTGTTAAAAATTAACGATGATATTAATGTATCATCATAAAATAATACCACGTCATCATTGAAAAGAAATAAAAATGTCACGTCATCATTTTTGTTAGTATTTTAACAGTAAGTGACCAAAATAAAATCAAAACATAACTTTGGTATGATTTTGGAAAACAAAATAGTTAGATGACCGAAAATGAATAAAAGTGATAATTGGGATACTAAATGTGTAGTTTACCCAAAAATCAATTACCAATCAGAGCCTAGAGGAGGAAATATTACACGTATAAATAGATGAAAGATTGAGATTCATTGAATCCAATTTAGGTTTCTGCCCCCTAGCCGACCTCTCTCCTCGAAATCAAGCACAGGTGAAAGAAGCCATGAAAATCCATACAATTAATTTGTTTGATCTTATCTTTTTATGATTTTATAATATTGATTTTTTTTTTCAGAAGAAAAAAACACCCTACTTTTTCAATCATGTCCGGTGAAGAGGAAGAGAACGCTGCAGAGCTCAAAATCGGAGAAGGTAATCCGCCCCTTTTCCGTTTTTCTCAATACATAACCGAGTAAAATTATTAAAACCCACAATCTTATTGTTTCTCTTTTGTTATGGGCAGAATTTTTGAAGGCCAAGTGTTTAATGAATTGTGAAGTGGCTTTAATTCTTGAGCATAAGTATGAGCAGATTCAGCAAATGTCTGATGATCCCACGAATCATGTTTCCCAGTGAGTTCAATAAGCAACCTGTTAATTGCGTTAATTTTTCTTCTTATCCTCTCTTGTTTAGTTATATCCATGTATTTGACTTACTAGGGTTTCTGTTTAATTTTGATGACATGATTTAGAAAATGTAGCCGCTTTTAAAAATGAATTTCCAACATGGGGGAAAACTATGTTCCATGGAAATAGGATTATTGTATGTCTTGTTGTTTGTAACATTGTTTCCCGAATTTCTGATTTTGTTGTATCAACTTTCTATCCTGAGGGGTTTGTTCGGTGTGTATGATAGGATTGATTAGTTCGGTTGGGTATATGGTGTATATGATTGTGTAATCCAATAAGGGGGAGAGTGAAGGATAAATCCTAGGCTTATGCTGAATAAAGAGATGGCACTTTTGTTATGCATAAGCCAAAATAAAAGAAGAAAAAAGAGCAATCTACTTATTAGTGTGATCCTATGCTATTATATTATGCCCTTAATTCCGTGCATCAAATTGGAACCTAATTGTATAATGTGGATTCTCTGATGGGATATGGCGTTTAGAAAAATTAGCATGCCTTTATTGCAGTTTTTCTCTCACACTTGATGTAGTGAATGGTCGTCTTTTGTCTTTGTTTCACAGAGTTTTTGAGAAGTCACTGCAGTATGTAAAGCGCTTTAGCCGTTATAAAAATCCAGATGCTGTTAGACAAGTTCGAGAGTATCCTCTAAATTACCAGAATTCCTAAATAGACTTTATTTAAACATATGTGCATGTTTATATACTGCTGTGGATAAGCTTTTTGGGTGCTCCTCGGGTGCTCCTCCTCTCCTATCAGTTGCTTTGTCTCAGGACATCTTGACTTGTTATCAATACTTTTCTACAATCTGATAAAAGTAGATGGTGTTGTTTTATCTTCAACTAATATAACCTCTCATGACATTGTTGATAATGTTTGCACTTGGTCTGTTGCTTTTCATATGATATGTAACTTGCTTCACTTTTGTGAACCTTAACTGACATTCAGAATTCTGAGTAGATATCAGTTAGCTGAATTCGAGGTGAGGATCTATATGTGGAAAGCAGTAAGCTTAGAATTATGATGTTAATGGCAATGTAGAAAAGTTCTTCATATATTGTGTTCTATGCTTATGCAGCTTTGCGTTCTTGGCAACCTGTGTCCTGAGACTGTAGAGGAAGCGATTGCTATGGTGCCTTCCATCAAGGTATGAAATGCTAAGCACGCTCCGCATTTAATTTTACAACTTATGTGCCCATTTTTCTCTCATTGTTTGAATAGTAATTGATTATTCATCCTTCTTCACTTGCATTCATGTTGAGATATATTTCTTTGGCGTTTCTCTCTGCCTACCCTTGTATACTTTTCATCCTTTTGATATGCATTGTCTAGTACGTATGTAGAGGGATTTTGATGTTTCGATGCCCGCCCCCGCCCCCGCCCCCTCTCTCGTCCATGAAAACAAGGGCAATGACTCATCAGATGCTATCCCACCCCTCTAGTGCTTTTGAGGCTAATTTGATTTCTAGATTTGATATGGTCTCTTGCTGTTTTTAGCTAGAATTTACGGATAATTAAGATTAAATTGTTAATTTTTCTCTAACTTATAGCAACAAATTGTCTTTGATGCAGACTAAAGGGCGTGCTCATGATGACGACGCCATCGAGAGAATGTTAAATGACCTGTCCCTTATCAAGAAGTTTGAATAGTGGCCACTAAACCCCTGGCTATCTAAGCAATTAATAGAATGTTAAATGGCGCTGCCTCTTGTAAAAATACCTGTTGGGACCATTGCATTTTTATCTACTGTACCCGTGATTGACCTTAAAATCTTAAGTTTGTCGAATGGTTTATGTTATGCTATTTTATCATCAATGCATTGCAAATCTGCATGTACGGATAAAGGGCTTTAGCAATGCATCCTGGCGAATTTTATTGATTTTTATACTCTTCTTTTAATGATATTTTTTAAGGTCACTAGTTACCATAATGTAATTATTCATCAAATGCAACAATTGCATTTATTATTATTATTATTATTATCATTTAGAAGGCAGTGTAAAGGTTAACCCTAATTGTCGCTAATCTGAAATTATTTACCATGGTAATCTTGTTCAAGTGTAAAGTTCAACTGTTTCAGATTAGCGTTCTTGAAGACAATACGACATTCTCGAGCACCCAGCTCTTTTCGATTATGTCGTTTACTAAATAAATTTATTATTTTTGTTTAAAGTTTTTTATTACACAATAATTCCACCACCCCGAAGACAATCTCTCCACAATTGATTAATGTCTGATGAAGGTAAAGAAAACACAAAAAAGAAATAATATAAATTTTCACTCCGACGAATCCTTTTGCCACCGCCAGAGGGTCAGCAAACAGCTCAACCTGCTATAATGAAATAAACCAACAATATATATATAAACCTTTCTTCGTTTGGATTTGTTCACGAGCCCAACGATTAGTGAGATCCAATCGTTGATTTTATTTGAGCATGAGATTAGATCTTAGACTAAAATCTTTTCAAATTCATATTTAATTAAATTCGATCCCAACCCATATATACAAATTTAGCTCAAAAATATTTTTAAACCTTTTTTAAATGTGCTAAATATGAGCTGAAATTAGATTTTCACTTCCTTAAATTTTCCATCTATTCTTCTTTTCATTCGTCTAAAAGTTTATACAAATCATTGACGGATAATTATAGATTTTATTATATGAGATGAGATATTAGAGCTACTCGAAATTGTTTCAGTTAAAATTTGGTATCCGATTCGAAAAGCTCGTGCATAACTTAAAAAAATATTTTTTAAAATTTTAAATTAGATTATTAATAATATTTATATGTCATTTAAAAAAATATAATGTAATGCTTTCATGTACTTAATGTTTAGGTTCGAGCACGAATTTGAGCTTCAATCAAGCTGAAATCTGACAACGTTTCGAGTTCAAAATTTTTAGAGCTCGAGTTGAGTTTGAAAATTTTAAGTTGGCAAGCTTTAGAGTCAAGTCAGGTTTTATTTTTTGTCTTAGTTCGAGTCATGCTTGACAATTTTAAACTTGTGAATCTTTTAATCGAATCGAATCAAATTCAATTCTAAATTTTTTAAAATGAGTCGAATTCATTAATACTCAAACTCAATTCGACTCGTTTACCGTTGTTTCCTTAGCCCTTCAATGTTTTAGAATTGCACCAGAAATAAGATTTTGGTGTGTCCTTCCCTTTCGGATAACATCATAACACAACATGCTTGTTGTAGGGGCTACAGGACTTAGTCATTGCCAGATTGGCCAACTGCCATTGAGAACCCCCCCCCCCCCTCCTCACATGCGTAGATGCGTTTGCCTTTACACTTAAAATCCACCCCTTTTCTCCTTTTTCTCTATCTATATAACCCCGTGAAGCAATATAGGTCTTCCAATCAATATCTACATTCTTAGTAAAATCCCACACTCCCAGTAAGTACAAGTACTTTTAAACGAGACATGGAAATGGCTGTGGAGCTTGAAGATGATCTGTTCTTTGCAGATTTAAGCAAGCAAATCTCTTTGCTTATCATGGACGATGATAATGATGATGACCCTCTTATCAGATATCCTTCAGTTTCTTTCCAGGTTTTTTCTTTACATGCTTTTCATTTTCAGAAAATCACACATCATTTTCTCCTAAAACAAAGTGTTTTGGTCTTTTAAACATTTCAGGGTTTCACCGGTGCAAATCACCCAACAGCACAATCTCCATTTATGCAAGAACAAATGTTTAGAAGAGAAAGCAAAGGAACTGGAGTTTTTATCCCAAAATCATCACAACAGCCAAGAAGGAAGCATGGGGGAGGAAGATACAGTTCTTCATTGAGCTCCAATCCCAACAGGCAGCTTCATCAAACTACTACAACTATGGCTTCTCAACCATCTTTCAGCAACTCTTTTAAACCAAGGAAAGGCTGAAGGGTTCGCGTCTACTATCTATATGAATCGTATAAATTTGTTTAATATAAGGATTTTATATGTGTACATTAAATAATTGGGCCTTCCAGGTCTTGGAAATGAATTGTGATATGAGATTGAGATCATATTGAATCTTAGATGGATGGGTATAATTGGAGACCAGAGTCAGAAAATCCTTTTCATATCCATTGGCGGATTGTTATGAATGAAGCTGCTAATGAAGATAATTTGGGACCCAACAAACAGATGGCAAATGGAATACAATCGTTTGAGAATCACGAAAGGCGCTGACCCAACAAACAGATGGCAAATGGAATACAATCGTTTGAGAATCACGAAAGGCGCTGAGGAACGAGGACAAGGAAAACTCCAACGGCCTTAACAAATTACATCCTTTATTGAGAAAATATATATAAATAATGATGAAGAGTTGTATAGGGGGCATGAAAAATATTATCTGAAGAACTTTCTATTGGTGGATGGTCATCGTTATTGGCTTTCATCGCTACTCGTCGATCGTAGAAAAATCATCCTCTCTTAAAAGTATGTTGCAACTTATTTAATGCTGCGTTTAGGCAAACTAATTTTTAGCAACCGAAACACAATACTTATTACTTAACGTACCTAATCCAAAACCAGTAGTTGGTGGCCGTCTTAATTGTTCAAAGGACTCTATAATTGTAATATTCAGAAATTGGAATAATCGTTAGAGACCATCTCAATTCACATTGCAACAAAGAATTTTTGTTATAATCAATCGATGTTTGATATATTTATCAACTAATCCATATAGGTCATACCACAAATATATGTGTGCAAAAATTATGTAATATGAATATGAATATATCAAATTCTATATAAACATTAAAGATTAGTACGTTACCAACATGGGTTGGTTTAAGTAATTAGTAGTATGATATCGCTTAAGTAAGGTCTCAGATTCAGGTCCTTGTGTACACAAAAAATCCTTATTGGGAGACTCATCTATCAAAATCAGGTGTACAACGTGGGTTAATCCAGATTAGTCAAGGTGAAACCTTGGAACCGAGAGAAAAAAATAGTATATTATTTAATACTTGAAATCAGTTTTTGTTTATAAATTAATTATATTATTTATGATACTCTAAAAACTAAATAATGATATAAAAACAATTTTTTACTAATATGAGTTGAACTAAATATAAAAATCTTATACTAACCATGATTATTTTTGGGGGATATAAATCAGAAAAAAATAATGGAGTAGATATTAAAAGGCAATCACCAAACGTTGGTTATTTTTAGCACCGTTTCCCATTGGATTTCTTTCAAACCCGTCTCTTTCCCTCAATCACAATTCTCTGTATTTTGTGGAAACCTTATTCAGGTACATCAATGTCTCTTTTCTCGTTGTTGAACACTGTTCGACACGTTGATCATTATGTTTCGGTTAATGTTGTGCTTTTGTACGTGGAGCCTGGTTTATCTGTTTATGAAATATGAATGATCATGATTTCTTGTGTTTTGGTTATTTTCTCATTATAACTAGCCAACAAGATGATTCTGGTAAAGAATGGATTTGTTTTGGGGTTTCAGGGACGGCCAGCAGGAATGAAGGAGCAACCGCCTGCTGCAATGGCGTCAACGGAGGACTCATTAGCTATTGCAATTGAGGAATTGAAGAACAGGGAAAAGGACATCGAATCCTTGAAAATTAAGCTTGGAAAATCTGAAGAATTGGAGGCGAAATTATCGGAGAAAGAACCTTCGTTTCATAGATTGAAAGATGAAGTGAATATGGTGAAATCCTTGGAGTCCCAGGCAATTTGTTTATTATAGGAAGATAAAGAGAGAATCAACGAACTCCACGAACAAATCAAGGAAAGATAAGAATCCGAGAAGAAAATACATGATTCATTCATGGCTCAATCGAAAGAGTTCGATCAAGCAAAGATTTCACTCGAGGAATCCAAGAATAAAATCAAATCTCTCCTGGAAATTCTGCAGAACGATGACAGTTCATCATCCAAGGTTGCGTTTCAAGCTTTCATGGCGGATGACAAATTAGGAAGACTAGAATCCGAGCTTCAATCCACGAAAGAGCAACTATCTCGTGCACAAGAAAATGAACAGGCATCGTCACTGAAAGCCGAGAATCTAGCCGAGGAAGCCAGCTATCTAAAACATGAACTGAAATCCATAACCGATGCAGAAGAAAACAACAAGAAAGCCATGGATGATTTAGCCCTGGCATTGAATGAAGTAATAACAGAAGCAAACGAAGCCAAGAACAAACTCTCATCAACACGAATCGAGCTCAAGAAAACAAAGTGGCACGTCGAAAGCTCAGAAAATTGGAAGGAAAATACAATGAAGCAAAGAAAGAATCGGATCGAAATAAAAACACGTCGGAGAGATTAAGAATCGAGCCGAAGAATCGTTAAGGCATGGAACATAAGAGAGATCTGATTCGTCGATTGCATTCGAAAAGCCGAATACGAACGGAATGCTGCACGAGAAGAATGCCAATCGCTGCTCGAATAGCTTCAAGAGACCGAAAACATGAACAAGAAGGCCAAGAAAGAGAATCAGAAGCTTCGGAACATCATGAAACAGGCAATAAACGAAGCTAACGTAGCCAAAGAAGCATCGAACATTGCTCGAGCAGAGAACTCGCAGCTCAAGGACGCCATTGCCAAAAAGGATGAAGCTTTGGATTTTCTTTCCCAGGAGAATGAGACCCTTGAGATTAAAGAAGCGGCTGCTCGTGATATCATTAAGGAGATGAAGATGTTTTGCGAATTAGGCAACGGAGGAGTTTGTAATGTCCGATGATCATGAAAATGGTAAGGAAAAAAAATTAAATGCAGTGGATTGTATAGATACAGCACCACTTGTTTGCTTCGAAACAGAAAGGTTCCAGACGATGAAGAAATTCTATGTTAGCTGAAATTCCAAATACGGTTGAGTAGGAACCCATCCAGATTTAAACACGTAAGATTTTTTTCTCCATTGAATATTAAAAACACAGATATTTAATTAGTATATTCATTATCGTTTTATTCATTATCAAATATGCCATATTTCTCAACATGAAAAGTTACAAATAAACTAAATCGTAGAGACATAGAAGATTGTCAAAATTAATATTTTATGTGAATAATTATTTATCATCGCAGGAAACAATAAATATTTTTATCCAATGATATAAAACAAACAAAACCAAAAGGAAGAGGAATAGATATAACCTTCCTCTTCTTTCATCACACTTGATCAATTCTTTCATCGTGGAAGTACCAGATTTATAAACTCAAAGCAAGAGTGGCATTTGAAATAAATAAATGCATTTTTTTTTAACTTTTCTGTAAAAATAAATCTTTATTGTTCATTTATTTTTCTTCTCGGCTAAATCAATGGGGGAGGAAAAAAAATCTCCTTTTTCATTATGCGGCTTTTAGATTTTTTTTTCTTTTTCTGTTACAAAAATAATGTTTTTGTTGGATTAAAATTTATAATTATAATATATAATGTCATCATAGAGTAAGAAATAGAATTAAATGATCAATTATGATAAATATGTCATAGATATTAAAGTATAATGGAATTAAAATATAAATATCATAAATTATATTTATAATTTGACGAGGATAAAATTATAGGTAAATTATAAATTTGATAAATGAATTTTTATATAATTCATTTTTTACTCACTGTATTTTCAAAATTTTAAATTTACACGTAAGAATATTAAAGTTGAAAGAGTTTGATTTGACATAAGTAATACCAGTAAACTGACCATGGAGAACAACGGACCAATTGCCTATAATGAATTGGCCCTAGTGATAATTGCCGATTCCATTTGTGTAACTATTACTTCATAGGGTTTTGAAGAATTCAAAGATTGCACTTTATTTAATCATTTCTCCTGATCAGTGAACTTTTTTTTTTTGGCCGAGTGTTCTTGGAATTGTATGCTACCTTTTATCTGCAGTATTTTTGTATTTCACATGTAGGAACCATCTAGGTCTTTTGGTTATGCATGTTGCATGTTTGATTCTTTATTCATTGGTTACCTCATTTGGAATTTAAAAACTGGGTTTCATTTGAGCAGAAAAATCATCGGCCGAGAGGGTTCAAGATGCATCAATGAATAGATGGGGAAGATATAAACGAGCTGCATCATTCAATTCAAGGAAAACAGTCCTCCTTTCCTCAATCCTGTAAGTTCTTGAATTGCTAGCAAACAAACACCTTACTTTTGAAATGCAATTTTTTCATAAATGGGTCCATTTAGTATGATTTTATTCTCTCTTAGCATCTTTGAAATAGCTCAATTAAAAACCCAATCCCATGGTTTGGAATCGGTAGATATCCAAAAGTGAAAATATTTGACTAGTAGACCACTATAAGGGAAATATTTTGACTTGAACAAGTAGATTTGGGATGCTAGGAAGATCGAGCTCAAACTCAACTACTTCCGAGTTTGAAGTCGAGCTCATTTTGACCGGTTAAAAAAGCTTAATCAAGCCTAATTGATATAGTTTGAGCAATGACATTGATTCTTTGTTTGGCTCAGATCAAGATTGGGGACATTGATTTATCTGACACTGATAGTTAAGACAAACTATTGATAGGTTCAATCTACGCTACCCAGGTTTGGTTATAACACTCCCAATCCGTATCCGACCCGAATATAAATTTGAGGTGTCACATTAATTCTTGAAGTTTTACCTAGGTCATGTTAATATAATGTGTGATGTTAATATTATTTATTGTCGAAAACAAAAACAAAATTAATTTTTAAGTCGTCAACAAAAATTATTCATCATCGATGGAATCAATATCAATAAAAAATAAAATATAATTAATCATCAACACATTGCTTTGGTGATTTTCGGTCCATTCATTATGGAGAACTTAAAATTTAAAAAAGAAGAAACTGTCAATCGTGTTGACTTCCTCATGAGGTGGATCCCCAAATTAAATCCTAATAAATATATTATGTAATTCATTATCTTCTT